GGCTTGCTGCATCTCTTCCCAACGCGCTTTCATTTCGGTGTGGAGCAACAGCACCTGAGCAGGTAGGTCAGACGTCTTGAGCTGCTCAGCTGTGGCCAGGGCCATGCCGACCTGTTTCTGTGCCAAAACATGAGACTCCTCCAGGGCATTCAGACGGCTCTCCAGGCTCTCTGAAATATACTGCTGCAACGAGACACAAGAATAATGCTGAGTCAAGCTGGTAGGTGCTTCAGTAGTGCACTCCACATCTGTGAAAGTTAGCATGGAAATAGTGTTAAATACGTTGTGAGATGCTAAGGACAGTTTAATGTTCAGTCTCTATGGTCTTTCTGGTCACTAACTCTAACAGTATATTAGCCCTACCACAGCCAGATTGAAAATTCCATTAAACTAGTGCATTGTTTAAAACCCCAGGCCTGTACACTGCTCAGCTACACTACATGGGCTGTAGCAGTGTGCATTTGTTAGAAGGACTTTGATAAGATCTGTTTAAATTATCATTATATCACAACTCCTGTCAATAAGTAAAATGCTCTGAGTAAGGACACACACACTCTATCTATCCACACCAAAATCTGAATCTTGACAGCCAATCAGGACGCATGGACAGCTCAGTAAAACCTTGTATCCTGCTAAACTGGAAATAAAAATCAAGGGAAGTTACATGAAACAAAGTGGAACAAAACAAAGATTTTAAATAAATTTTTTTTCCCTTATGCTTTTAAAGTGAAGTGCAGGTGTGACGCTACCTGTGACGCTGAGGACAGTGGAGCATTCAGCCTGCCCCAGGACGCTCTCTGCAGTGATGGTGTACTGTCCTGTGTCTTTGGGGCCCACATGGAGGATTAACATGGAGCAAACTCCACAGGTGTTGGAGATATAATAGTTGGTACTGGTGTTTAGACTGATGTGATTTCGATGCCATGTGATACGAGGTTTGGGATTTCCCTTCACTGCACAGCTCATGCAGCATTCATAGCCTTTGGGTGCAGTGTGAAGCTTCAAAGGTACAATGAAGGTCGGAGCGCATCGTAAATCACAGTCCTGTCTGGTTGGTATGCTCACCATGAACCTTTCTACAAGAGAGGAAATACAACCCCAAATCAGAAAAAGGCATCAGAACTGAAGTGAGTGTTTATTTTGAACAAAGAAAAGAAAACAACTGAAGAGGTATCACATTAACTAAAGTGCTGATGTATTGTTTTCTGTGTAATATAGGACACAGATGATTTACACATCACTATTTTCAGTGTTCATTTTGATTTTACATACTGTCCCAACTTTTTCTGATTTGGGGTTGCATAGTAAGATGACATTTTTCCTAAATAATTGAATGTTTGGCTTTTGAGGTTATTTCAGATGCACAAACAGACCTTTATTCTTCTTTATCCCCCAGGTTGGTGATTCAGAGGGTGCAGATATGCCCATATCGTTTTTGGCATAGACTCGGAAATGACATTCCCTCCCGTGCATGATGTTACAGACAGTGAACTTGTTATTGAAGAGTCTGTCAGCCACTGTGGTCCATGTGCATTTGGTAGAGTCCAGCTTGGACACTGTGTAGTGGAGGCGGTCATCCCACTTCTCATCAGGTGAAGGTTCCCACATCACCGTCACAGTGCCAGGCACATTTTCCACCAGTTCTACTGGTCCAGGAGGCTTTGGATCATCTATAACACACAGTCAGTTTTAGTGGTATCAAATCCTTTACTGCATGTCTTTGAAATCAATGTAGCAAAAGAGTTTTTGTTTTACCTGTGACCCTGACCTCTGTACTGAATGTCTCCTGTCCTGCAAGATTTTTCACCAAAATGGAATAGATACCAGAATCCAAGCGCTCAGACGAGGGGATCAGCAGCTGAGATGAGCTATCAGAGTTACTTATTGTAACTCTCTTCGTCACTGGCACATTGTCCTTTAGCCATATAATATCTGGCCACGGGGAGGCCTGGGAAAAAGACCAGTTGCAATATTTGGAGTATTTGAAACCTGAATATAGTATAGCTGCTTTTCCTCCTGTGAGAAACACCACGATTCATCTTGGCTTATACCAATAATAAAGTTAAAGAATAAATCTCACCTCAAAGTTTATTGTGATCCTGACAGTGTTTCCTGCCCTCACCACCATGAAACTCTTCATCTTAGGGCTCGTGAACTTTGGCCTTACTAAAATAATAATAATTTTCAGAGATTTTAAGATAAAAAATATATAAGAAAAGACAAATGATAAGAGCTATTGTACAAAGATAAATGGATAGTTAACTTTAAGCCTCAAATTATGCCTTTCTTCACAATGTTCAGCCTATTATCTCTTAAGTTTCTAACCAGACTTGGCTTACCAGGTGAGGGCATAGCAAGGACATAGTTGGCCAGCTCCTCGGGTGCCCCCTTTCCTCCATCATTAGCTGCAATCACTCTCACCCAGTACATGTCCATGGACTTTAGGCCTTTCACAGTGAAGGAAGTTGTGATAATGGCAGTGCTATTACAGCAGGACCATTCAATGCAATCTGCCTGCTGAATTTTAACAAAATATCCTTTTGCTTCATCCTGTATTTCTGGTTTCTCCTCACCGAGCACAATTAAATGTGAAATTGCCTCAGTATATCCGTGTTTGTTCTTGAGCTTGATCTTGATCGCTCCTGTGTTCTTCCTCTGGCACCTGGTCAGGAGCAGGAGGCTCTGACCTGCAGATGTCTCTATCTTTGTATTGTTGTCATCTTGGAGCTCCTCTCCCTCTCTGTACCATTGACTCTTAATGGGCTCATGGCCAAGAAAATGCATTTTGAAGATGGCACTTTGTCCCGCTTTAACTGTCACAGGCTCAGTGAAAGAACTGAGGTCTTCAGGGTCAAACCTGGGGGGATCTAAAAAACCGACAAGTTGGGATCATTTTAATGCTGAGATGGTATTTAGCTGTAATCTGATTAAATGCTAATATTTCTGATCTGTGGCTGTAAATATTGTATAAATACTGCTACGCTACAAAATCTCAGCACCATTTCTGTTACAACAAATTCTCAAACCTTGGACGTTAATAATCGCCTCTGTTTTACGATCATCTGCTTCAAAGCGGTATTTCCCAGAGTGCTCTTCTTTGCACTTGATTATGACTAATTTATGGATTGCACCATCTTTGGTGATGGTGAAATTGTCATCTGGGAGTATCTGATAGGAAAGGGGCGCAGCCAGATTAAAATAAACCGAGCAACAGCAATAGAAAGTTAGTCACTGAAATTCAAAGAACACTGCATTCCCCAAAGGGCTTTGTGTCCAGCTGAGTTGCATTCCACACAGACACAAATCTTAACATCTGCCCTATATTTAAGGTAAATTGCAGATAAGTGCATACTATATGAAACCTGTGGCGAGTTCCAGTCACCAACAGGACTAGGTCTGAATATGATTTATAGCTTATCTCTTGGTTTGTATATTAGTTTGAACATGAACTGCACCAGAATTAAAAGGCAACATGGTTTGCTTTTTTTTTTTTTTGACCAAATGGACCACCTACAGCTGTGAAAGCAATCTTAGACCCCCACATCCTTGCCTAAGGTATATCAACTCAGGACCCAAGAAAAAGATGAGGTTGACCTTTGACTAACCTTTTTGCCGTCTCTGAACCAGGCTCCCTCACAGTTTTCACTGCTGAGCTTACATGTTAACTCAGCAGTCTCCTCAACCATGGCGTTAACACCCGACAATCCACAGATGAACTGGACCCCTGGATCTATCATAAACGACAGTGAACAGTTAGGGACTGATTGCTAACTTGCATTCAAAAACAAACCTATTTCACCATGATATGAAGAATAGCTATTATTTCAATATTTAATTCTGTTCTTTCTAAAATGACCAGTTCTTGTTTTGATTGAATTTTCCTGTCTGTTTTCTTTTTGTTTGCTCCAGGTTTTAAATGTGCTGCAATGTTTTCTGTATTGATGCCTTTATGATTAGTATTTGTACCGTCATTGTTTTCTTTTGCAGTGTGTGCTGTTGAGGAACAAATTTCAAACAGCAAATAATAATGGTAGAATGTAATTGGGTTTTAACTAGTAAAGAACACCTTTATAATTCACTACAAGACAGCAAATTTGTATAAGTCACACAATTAGGGGTCAAAATCTTTGGCAATCTCACAATTCAATTCATAATCAAGTCTTCATTTAAAAAAGCTTGTGATTCAATAAAAAGACAGTGGCACACTCACAGTGGCTTTTAGGACATGTGCTTTCACCTTTTCAAAATCCCAGTATTTAACTCTTAGCTTTACACTCTCACTTAATAATGTGTAATACATGCAAACTTGAAAAGTGACAGAAAACTTTGCAGGTTGAAGCAGAACATCTGTACACAACAGGAATATACAAGGTTATGTGTGACTATTGTGTGTACGACACAATAAGGATCAAATTGTGTAACAATGTTAACTGCTTCAGGGAGCAAACAGTCACACAGCAAAGCACTACCAGTGTTCTCTTACCACTGTTTGCTTCCTCTGGCTTTTGTTTTTGCTTTGAACAAGTTGGATGCTTGACTTAACCTGCTGAGTCCTCATTTGTTTCACTGTCACTTCCTGGTTCCTTTAGATCTGGTTTAGAGCCTTAGATTTCAGGTATTACACATCACTTTACACAGGATTTTCAGTAAGTTGCAAACACTGTTGCATTTGGATTTTGTTTTAATAAGATGTCCCCTCAAATTCTTTCCATAATTAAAAAATAAAGGACTCAAAACATCTTGCCGAGCTCCACCTAACTGGTGTAACACTGTGCAGCGATTGCTGGTGATCTATCTTCTGCAGACCCGGCTCATCTCAGTTGAGCCTAATGTCTCTTTAACAAAGCAAACCAAGAGCTCAGATCAGTGGGCACAGTTCATTTTCAGTCAATTCCTCTCGTTAATGGGACATCTAGGTCTGAAACGAGATGGGATGGTTAGCTGGCTCTGGGTCACGACAGTCCCATAAACACCCAGCAGTTTACAGTGTGTCATGACTCAGTGCAGCTAGTATAGCCAGCTGCCTTCTACAATACTTGTTTGTATATCTTAAAATAACCTTTTTGTGCATGTTATAACATATTTTCCACAAAGTAGACATTTTATACATCCTGCTGCTGGAACAGAGCCATGTACAACAGGTAACCTCTGCAAACATGTAACATTTAGCACAGATATAATACATTTACTAAGAAAAGGTGCATATATGTGAAGATCATCTTGGGGATTTTAAGAATTGATATTGAATCATTCAAATAAGAAATGCAGTTAATCAGAGAATCCTTTTTAGCTGTAGTACATTACTTCCATGCAGAACATACAGTAGAACCCTGTTGTTTCTTACCAGTTGTATGATGTGTCCTTTGGGCCTTTATTGTGTGTTCTGAGTGCCTGACAGCCTCGCTGTCCTTTTCCCCAGATAAAGTCACCTCATTTTGGCTTGTGGTGAACATTTGAATCTGGTCTATGTGAATGCTTTTGTTGTTGAACTCTGCACACAACACGCAGTCAAGATAAATAATGAAAAGAAGTATGGATGTTAACCGAGCAAAAATACATTAAAAAAAATCTAGTCAATCACAAATATAATGACCATTTACCTTAAGAGAAGTACATTTTGTACAGTTCATGTTATATTACCAGTTATTCTGTGTTTCGTCTCTTGACCATGCCTTTTGTATCTGCTGAAATCCTCATTCTTCTCAGAATATTCTCCTTCATTTGCATCTGTGGTGTATCAGTGAGAATAGAATAATTCAGCTTAAAACTTGAACCACCACTGACTGCTCACTGGACTTCTGACAGTAGAAATGTGTTGTCAGGCATAGATTGACTTTACCTGCTACCTTGTCAAAATCTGCTTGACTAGACATGGCATATTTCTTCTTCATGGGGTCATCGACAGTCACTTGCACTGCTGTTTTTGTTACACACCCTGAAACATCTAATGTTGATACTGTGCCATCTCCTTTTGAGTTTGTAATTGTTGTCTTCTCTTTGCTCCCCACTGGCTCAGTCGGGACACTTGTTTTTGCTGTGTCAAGATTATTTCCTACTGCTTCAAGGTTTTTGCCTGGTCCAGTGACTGCAGTTGTTTCACCATCTCTTTTACTGCTGGTTAAGGTCCTTTCTCCTTCGAGTTGTCCTGCTTCATGCCTTGCTTTAACAGCTGCTAAAATCTTCTCCATCTCCTTTTGGTTTTTAAGTTGCTGCTCTTTGGCCACCTTCTCAAGGTCGGCCCGTACTCCAGCAGCCACAGTAGTTTTACGAGGCTTCCTCTTACCAGCAGATGTGGGGCCACCTTCAGCTTACAGGTTATGAAATACAACATGCAAGACATGACTCACATGTATTTGTGAAAATCATAATGATAATCTCCTCACATTTACCAACTGATTACTGTGGCACTGTACTATAAGTAATACCTTCCACAACCAGCCAGGCACTGCATGACTTCATGCCAGCCACAGCTGAATAGATGCCTTTGTCCAGCTGCTTGCAGTCTCTGATCAGCAGCCTGTGGATCAGTTTGTGCTCTGACACACATATACTGTATTTATCTCCATCCTCCAGGATGTTGCCCTTGTGCAGCCATGTGATCCTCCGTAGTGGGTGTGTCAGAACACACTCAAAGAGGGCATCCTCTCTTTCTTGGGCTTTAATCTCCTGGGCCCGGTTTTTCAAAAGGTTTAATCCGGATAAAATTGATCCGGATTCAGTAATCCTTTTTTATGCATTGTTAAACCCACCAGAGCTTGTTTCACCTTGGGACCAGAAAAATCAGCATGCATTCATCAAACTGAAACCAACCATAGTTGAATTACTGTAGGACCTTTCTTTTTCACAGATAAATGGGTGTAGTATAGAACTTACAAAAGTGGACACATTTAATGGACAATTTGTTTACTTTCAGCTTGAGTTTATTTTTAGGACCTACATTTAAACTCTGTAAGGTGGTAGTTGATCTGTTTGACATCCACCTGATTCAGCCCTGTGTCCATAGCACTAAAATCCTTTGTCCTCCGGACACACTGAAGACTCTGCTTCTCTTTTGTGTCTTCATGGGGAATTGCACCTTTCTCCTAAGTACACAGACAGAATCAAACATTTATAGTCTGTGTACAAATCAAATACAAAATACTTTTGTACATGATTTTAAAATGTTAGTAGCTCTGGCTTTGTTTGAAATCACTTGTTCACTCACTGACTTCCTTGTATAACAGACACACCACTCTATGTTTCAGAGTGGTAATATCTGAGGACACTAGTGTGTCAATTCCACACGCCAATAAAATGTCGGCAGGGTAAAAATAGTGCACTGAATGTAACTAAGGAATGAGTCTTGACACAGTCAGTGTAACACTTTAAAGAGAACACAGCAGCTGGAGACTTTCATCTGTTTCACTGTGCATTTTAAACCCTCTTTCTCAGTGTAATTGTACCTGTTTTCTCATACTGACAAGGCAGGGCATGCAGCTGATTGAGATGAGTCGGTTTGGCAAATATTCAGAATAAATCGATTGTAGTTGCTTCTCCTTGGAGATAATGCATCTACTGTGAGAGCTGACAGTTCTCATACCTTAAACTTATTTTGCATTCTCTCTTCCTTTTTTGCTTCTAGTTTCTTGAGAATCAGTTGCAAGTCTGCGACACCAAACTCGGTACAGACGCGCTCATGGTCTTTCCTGTCAGCATTCAGCAGCACGTCCCAGAATCTTTCATCCATTTCTCCATCTGCCCTCTCAACTTTACTGAAGATAGTAAGAAAATATAAAAAAAAAATGAAGCAAGGATCAGAGGAGAGAGACAAAGAAACACACTGAGAACCATCTGGCTGGTTATTTTAATATCTGCATTTCTTACCTTTTCTTCAGCAGGTTTCTGAAATCTGGATTTGATGAAGCTGAAAATAAATTCAGTTCAGGATTCTCTGTGTTTTCACTGCTGTTACATTATAACATATAAATCATGGAAGTATTCTATTTATTTATTCTAAGCCTGTGTTTTGTGAATATTAGAAATCAAGTGAACAAAGCCTTTGCATCTCAGTTCACCACCTTGCATGGGAATGAAACCTCGCGTTCATGTTATTTAGTTGTAGACTGATCTGTTCAGTTCACCATTCACAGAAGAATGAGTGCATTCAATGCATGGTGCTCTATTAGCACGTGCATGTGTTTGCATCAATCACCTTTAAATGCTGAGGGAGCTGCAGTGGACTCTTGCTGACTAATGGTTGAATAACAGTTTTAAAATAGCAAAGGTGTGACTAAAAACACAAAGAAGTGCTTTAAACATTTGTGTAGGCAATAGATAGGAGGACATTTGTTAGTGTGTCCATTCAGTTTTGTGGTTATTTTGAAACTGGAGATTCTTTCTTGTTGTAGTTGTGGACTGTCATCTGAAAATTTGGTCATTTAATAAAACCCAGAATTTTCTTTTTCCCTTATTTACCACCCAATGCAAAAAGAGGTCTGAACCAAAACATGGATTTGGTGAACTGTTAGACCCCGACCAGTTAGAGACCTAACTCCCTCACAGGCAAAACAAACGTTTAGAATCCAGTTTTAAGATGTATTACACAATGAACGCTTACCTTCAATCACATTTAATGTTGCTGTGCCAATAGCTTTGCCATATTCATTCACAGCATAGCATTTGTATGTATCTATGTCAGCAGCAGACACGTTATGAATCTAGAAAATACAAATAGCAGATGCACATTCAGAATTCTCACAACAAATTGAATAATAGACTACAGTGCTGTACCCATAGGAATTTACCACATCTGAAATAATTTGGTCACTCACCTCTAATATGTACTCCCCTGTTGATTCGTCGTGTCTCTTATGAAATTTGTCTGACATATTTCCTCTAGCTCGTTTCCATGACACCTCCGGTTTTGGATCCCCCGTCACCACAGCCGTGAAAATAGCTGATTTCCCTGTATGGAAAATGTGGAAACATTGAATTTTTGTTTACACAATTCACTTCCTGATTGTAGAGAGCTATAAAATTCAACTTTCCTGCATTTCTTTGACTTTCATTTGTCATATCTCTTTTTTGTGACTGTATGGTTCTATAAATATGTCAGTGTTAAACTGTAATGAGACCCACCTTCAGTAGTTGTTACTGGGTTTGGCTTACACTGGAAATCAGGGGTGCTTTTCCCCTCTGGTATGTTTATGATATACTGCATGATCATCACTCCAGGTGTCTTAGATCTTCTTCGAATAACAGCTAAACACAGCAAATTTATTATTCAATAAGTATTCCATTATTTATAATAATGGATATTTTAGCATTGTATTTAATCTGCACAATAGTGCATGGAAAAAAAAAACACATTCATTTTACCTGTCTTGTTGCCAGACACCTCATTAAAATGTTGAATATACTGGTGAACGAGGGAGAAACCTGGGTGAAAAAGACACCAGATCAGTACAAGTGAATGCTGAACCATGGCCTTAAGACAATGATGTATACAATGTGTAATGTGTGTCCAGCAGAAGCTGTCTCTTATTAGCTGCATCCATAAAGTGGTAGGTTATGTATTTCCTCATATTTGTAGAAATGTTATTATCCAAGTCAGATGAAGCATTTAATTCTCTTCCTCAAAGAGGCCTGAATAGAGGGTCACAGTAAAGGGCAGCAGTCAGGCGCCCATAGTCCAGGGATGTTTGCTCCTCGTACTCAGTTTATCACTGAAGCCTGAGAGAGACGACCTTTACTCAGCTGGCTGCTGAAGTGCCTGTCAGTTGGGGAAACTCCAACTTATGAATTTTAATTTGATGGAGATGATATACTGTACATAATGTATTTTTGGCCACTTGGTGGCAGCAGGAACGAGCTGTGAACAGAACACTGAGACAGTTGTATGCAAAAGTTTGGCCCCCTTTAGGCAAATGACATTTATATACATCCTCTCCAACATGAAGACAGTTGAAACAAATTTTAATGCCTAGCTACTTTTTATTTCATGAACTTAAAAAAACCTAAATAATTAGGCTAAATATTAATTGTGGCATGTGTGAAAGATTGGCTGCCCTTCTACTTGTAAAACACTCAGCTTCCATAACTCACTAGACCTTAATTAACTCCTCAGGAAGAATTGGGGGTGTTTCCTACCGTCTAAGTTTCTTGTTGATTCCAACAGTATGTTTTGGCTGGATTAGCAGCAGCTCGTTTTCTACTGCTTTCGGTGATGAATTAACCTGCACACAATTTACTGTGTATGTAATGCTAATTACATTGATTTACTTTTGTCAGCAACTAATGTGGGCTTTTGTTACGGATAGAGTAATCACTGCCAAATAGTGTTACAATGATGAATGAATGATGTCTTTGTTAGGATAAAATATTCACTTATGATTGTTGTTCCTTTTACAAAGGAGCAAACATTAGACCCATACAGTATGGTGCTTTTGAATTACAGTGAAGGTATGTAACTTACTGTAGCTCTTTTTATATTTAAGATTATACTTACAGAGATCAGTCTACTGTGTGATCTCTAGGTTTGCAGCAAATATTTACAGTGACAACAGTTTGTATAATCCTCTTCCATCAAATTCATACCCCATTAGAGACATGGGAAAAAATTACACGGATGTGAAAATGAGAAAGGGGGTCAGTTAAATTTAAAAATTGATGCTATACGTACAACCAAAAAAAGATTCTGTATTTCCATAAGTGGGGTAAAACTATGGAATAATTTAAGTGTAGACATAAAAAATAGTAATAGAATTGATGAGTTTAAACATAAATATAAAGGTATGTGTCAATCAAGATATATGCAAGAACAGGTTTAATGATTAATCAGGTGTAACATTGTGAGTGTGGTGTAAGAATGTTAACACTATGTAATAATTCTACTTGTGTGATGTAGAAGATAATTATCAAAGTATGTCATTATGTAAGAATGTTAACAATCTGTAATATTTTTTATTATATCACTAGCGTGGTGTAGAACAAAATTATCCATGTAGTAATACTGTTTGTAAACCAATAATGATAAGATGATGTCATGGGGTAGGACTGGATAAGTCTAACTTCTTCCTACTCCGTTCAAGCATGTACTAGGTATAAGCTAATTGATAATGCATTTGTGGATATGTGTGAAATTATATGTGTTGACATATTGACTGTCGTTACATGTTTGAAAGAAAAAATCAAATCAAAAATCAAATCAAATCAAATCAAGAATCAAAGCTTGGTCACTTAAAATGGACCAGTATCTTAGGGTTTAGAAAATTCTGTCTCCTGTAAAAGGGAATAAAAAAATAAGATGGCACACACATGCTGTCTACTAAAAATGTATGGTAAATGGTTATTTTCAAAGCCTTTCTTTTACTGCTCTGTTCAGTTCAGTGTGCTGTGGCAATTCGTTATTTCAATAGATGAACACCAGGGCACCTGATTATAACTGAAAACCATAAAATGGAAGAAAAATGAGCAGGAAATGAGGAATTGAAGGGGGAAGGATGATGTGCAGTACTGTACTTTGTCTGTTGGCAGTGGGGCCTGCGTTCTTCACCCTTGTCCACATTTTGGCAAGAGTTGACTATCTGAAAGGTGACCTGCAAAAACAATGTGAATATAACATTTACCACACTGATAAAACCAAACAGTGCATTAGAAAGTGTTATGCATTTGCTATTCTTGCAAAAAAGAATATTGTTAGTGGTTTCCACTTGTATTCCAACCTACTGATGGTACTAAGTAGGCAGTATATAAGTAGATGAATGAGACAGTAAACAGTATGTGTATTGCACTTTGTGTTCTCTTCAGTTTTTTTTTTTTGTGACTGTGACAAATACCGTGTAGACGACTGATTATACTTGTAGAATTAAACATTTCCATTATGCTGTCCATCAGATTTAGCTCTTTGCTTGTGTCTTAGGTTGCATTAGTTATATAAAACTGCCTGACCTATTGTATCTGCATACCTGTATGTACCCTTGCTATGGTCACTTCGCTTATTACAAACTAAGGCTTTTAGTTCCTCTGAGCATTACATGTTGTGATGAATAAATGGACTCTGAGTGAGTAGGCATACAAAGAAGTGCCAGTGGAGCCAGTTACTACTGTTCAAAAACTAAAGTGAAAAGCTTGGCTGTTCATTGAAGTTGGTTACAGATCTTTTACAAATGTATTTAACGAGGGACGGGTGGCAGTTACCTTTTTGTTTGCTCATAACAAGTATTAGGCTTATGCATATGATCATATTGAGGATGAACTAAGGCTTCAAAACATTAAGACTGTGGTCATGGAGTGGCCAAGTCATAATGAGTCCAGAGCAAACAGTCCATAAGCTAGGGTTAGCTGTAAGCCTGTACTAACTTCATTATTACTTGTTGGCTACATAAAGGTACAGAAGGTAAATAAAGTAGACCTTTGATATACCACCACGTCTACAGTACAGAGAATCTACTCCTTGATTTGGTCAGCCTTTTAGTAGAATTCTCTGATTCCTCTCGAGCACCCCGGGAACTCTCCAGTTCTGTTTCTGTCATTTCAGAAACTGTAATCCACCTGGATGTAATGAAGAAGTGGCTGACCCACAGTCGTGATGCAGCCTTGGCCACACACAGACACAAACAAACAGAGAAAGAGTGGTTTACCTGTCTGCAGCTCTGTCCTCACTCCCACTGAGACTCAGAGAGGTTTATAGATGTGGTATAAATGTGCTGCCTCCTGGGTTTTATTGGATATCAAATCCTTTGGGGAAACATGTTTGATTTAGCTGCCTGCAAGCTTGTGTCTAGACGATGACTGTCAAGGAGAGGCTTCTTATGTTGAGGATCTTGGTTGCTCAGAGCAGATGGGTTATTATTATTAAGGGGGGTGGAGTTGGGGGTAGTGGTGGGGAAGAACTACCAATGAAAAGATGGTAAAGTTTACCTCTCACTGCAATAATTACTGATAACATTTATAACCTAGAAGGGGGAAAGAAGCAGGGAGTGTTTGAATAAACTGCTGAAAATGCAGGCAAATTTTATTGTTTAGCAGGATTACAGACAAAAAGCTGGATCAATCATTAGCATACTTACTACAGAAATTGGTGGGGGACCAACCTTAGCAGTAATTACATTTTGGCTGAAAAGGGTCAAAGGTCAAGGTCACAAAAAATTGCTATCTTTAACATAAAAAAAATGTGGTACACACACGTAGGGTGGCAATGCCTATCACCAGACCAAATTTCATCCGGATCCGACAGCCATTTAAAGTTAATATTGAAAAATCCATTTGTCATGTTTTCTGTCATAACTTGGCCTGTAATGAAGACAGAAGCCTGAAATGTTCGGGTAAGACTCCCTATTACACCTAAAAGATAATCCAGATCAAAGATTTTAGGATGCATTTTGTGTGGTTCTCAATCTCATTTTTCACAAGGGACACATTTGCATACGTGAATATTGTGCCTTGGCTGAGGTACAAGCTTTGTCCGAATGCTCTTGTATTACATTATGTTACATAATCAAGGTTGTTATGTAGTATAAGCTCTGCTTGTCATGGCTTTGAGGCAGTAATGTTTTCAAGGCCAAGTACCAGAATATCATTACATAACACTACAAACTATGTCCTCTTGCTTTAAAACATGTATCGTGCATCTCTTCTAATGCATAAGAAATATGTTCTTTAACAGTTGAGCATTAACTGACATTACAACACTATTTTTGCAGTTGCTGATGTAAGTTCCTTATAGGAGGTAACTATTTAATTCCTGTTATGTTCTCTCCATGGAAACCTGTTTGTTTTTTTTGCCACATTAGCAGCATGCCTCTAGAAATGCCTGTGCTGGTTGGCCTGACAGACTGCTAGGCCACTGGCCCATCATCCGGTTGTCCATTGGACTTGTAACAACTTTGGTGATCCCTGAATTTTTATTTTGCGCCACCAAAAGTAAGATTTTCCACTCTTCCAACACTTATGTTCATAATAATACCTATTTGGTAATCTGTATGTTCATAGTAAACTGTTAACATGCTAATGCATGAAATATATGCACACTATGCTAAATGATAGGCATGATGTCACAATGCGAAATGTAGCCTGTTGGCCTGTTTCAGCATTCAGCTCAATGCACAGCAGAGCCCAACAGCTGAGGCCGACTACATCACAGACAAATACTGACAATGAAGAGCTGAGCCTGACAAGCTGAGTCTGAGATTTCCTAAAACTCTTAAATTTAGCTAACAATTTAGCTGGTCAACAATTTTGATTTCTGCTGTTTCATAAGCATTATGGCCTTGTGGTCTGCTAACATGTGTACAAGTGTTATTTAAAAAATATTATAAAATGTTATTCCAAAAATGTTTCAGTGAAATGTCAGATCATAGAAACTGCAAGGTAATAGATGGACATACACGTTTCCGGATATGGCTGTCTCAACAGGACAGCCAGAGAATCTGCTAGCAGACAGTCCAGGTGCCAGTGTCCTGTCATGCTTGTCCTTGCTTATGCATCCAAACAGGCTCTTGTATGAGCCTAAGATCACATAAACCCCACTGGATTAGGAATTAAACCCCTTCAGCCTATCATCCTTATATTGATCAAATGTCATGCTGCATAGCTTTCATTCCAGTCCTGGAGAGAGGTGCTAACTAGATGACCTCCTCTTTTTGTAGTGTGGATGGCTCTTCTGTTGGAAACCTCAACAGTGCATCAACTGAGGCCTTGTCACTCACTCTTCAACATGGAGTGAATATGTTTTTAATTGGGCATCACTAGGTGCACTGGTAATGAATCTTGGCCTCTCAGAAGAATCTGAAATCCACTACCAGGCAAAGGTTTGGAAACATTCTCCCATTCAGTTCAGGTGGGAATTGTCTCCAAACCATTGACTGTTAGTGTAACAAAGAGCTTATGGTTTTCTGTAAACATGGGAAAAATTATCAATTTAATATAATGCTGTTATTATGTGTATTATGTACAATTCTTTTAATTTTCTTGATCTATTTAAACATATCCAGATTATTCTCTGCAGTATTTTTATGTAACAACATTCAAATGGAAACTAGGCTAACAAAAGCATCTTCCACACATGTTTTACTCTCTAAAACTACCGCATTCGGATATGACCTTAATACAAACAGCAATAGGTTTTTGTTCCTCTAGCTTGTACGATATGTAGTTTATCAGTAAAGCTGTAGAGGTGAAATACATACCTATACAAAACAAATCTCAGTGCGTACAAATCAATTGTGTGATGAAAGTCTGCCCCTGAAGAATGGGTTTCATATGAGTTTCCTTGTTGTTGGACAAAAAATGAGCTTAGTGTCTTTGGACATTTTTGTAGGGCTAGTGTAAGAAAGCCAGAAGCTAAACATAAATGTACAAAAATAAATCTCACACAGTTTTATCCCTATCTCAGTATATAGTCCATGATTCATTACAGAAGAGATTCATAACAATATGATGCAATGAATGTAAATGTGATTCAGCTGACTTGCCTTTCAGTCTCGACAACCTTGTTTTGCATCTTTAATGAAAGCGTTAACACTATTGCAGTGTAGTTTTAAATAATCACTCTGCCTCTTGTTATGAATTGGAAATTCTCATCAACTCGTGTGTTTTTATTTTACATAACTGTAGAGAAATTCTAAAGAACTGAATATAATCACAGAACAGAAAATAAATTCTCAAAACTGTTCCTCTCTTGATCTTAGATCTGTCATTCTGTGTTCAACACATTCAAAGTTATGGTAGGAAAACTCATTTAACTTGCAAGATCTTCTGTATGTGATAAAGAACACTGATAAGAGAGATGACTGAAAAGTTTGTCCACTGGCAAGGAAGGAAGGAAAAAGGGGCCTCCATCTCTTTGAGATAGCATCCGTCCCTGCTGTGAATTGCATTCTAAATCCCCGTCACATCTTCCTGGAGGTGGCCCATCTCCATCCTGATTACTCACTGCTCCAAAGGCTCCAAGCTTGATTAATTCTCCTCACTGACAAATAATCTGTATGCTTTACACACTTAGACTCTGGCACTCTGTTGCTTGTATGTACTAAAAAGCTGACCAATCACAAATAGAGAGTACATACAGTACCTCAGAGTTTATACTTGGGCTGAATGGCACTCAATGCATTTACCCTCTGCAACAAATATTAAAAGCTTTAAAGGCATCCAAGAAGTGGTCTTGCCTTTCATATAGCTGGGATATGCACCATGCCACAGTGATTTCATAGAGCCTGAGATTAACATAAACATGGCACAGTCTTCATCCTGAGATAGAATACTGAGCTTCTCATTTCACCACAGTCATTGTCTACAGAAATTACCTTCTATGAATAGAACATGAAACAAGGATAACCTAATTAAACCTTGTACACCTGCCTAATGACAATTTGTGTTGAGACCTGTACATATGATGTAGCTCAAACAGAATGTCATTGTATTGAGACTGAAAAAATGTACAGTGTTTGTTTTCACTGTGTAAAGACATGTTCTTGTTCCCATACCAAGGTCAATGCTGGATGGTTGTTGCCTGTTAATCCTATGATTGAATCAAACTTCTATCAGAAGGTTCTCAGAAGGATAGCT